CAACTCGGAGGCGGTAGTCAGAGTGATGCGCAACGCAAATAATGTTCCGGCCGGAACACGGCGCGCTAAATGATAAAAAATAAATTAACGAAGCTTCGAGGCAGGAAAATTTTTATCAAGGAATTTTAATAATTGAGGTACTCGAATCATTCGAGGAATCGTTTCAGCCCTCATCATCATCACCATCACCCTCTCCAGCCTCCGTCGGGTCTCACCTGCCAGGTTCTCATGGACGGCCTTCATCTCGCTCTCGGCCCGGATGAAGGCCTCCTCGATCAGGCGGTTCTTCTCCTCCTCCAGGCTCTGCATGTCGGCCTCCAGCTGGCCCTGCGCCCGCTGCATCTCCCCCTCGTAGACGTGGATCTGGGGGAACACGCAGCGCGGTGAGGTATGAGCGTTCCCGTTTGATCCCTGGTTTTCATTTTTCAGCCGTCATGAGGTTCGGTTGCCAAATGTGAAACTGCTGCAAGTTCCTCTGCAGGTTGTTGCTAGGTAACCAAAGTGAGTGAGTTCATTGATGCTACCCAGATAGCTTAGCTCAAGCCTTTCCTCTGCCTACATTTCCCAGAATGCTGTGTGGTTCTAGATTGGAGTTCAGTGGACCTTCCATCACCTTCAGCATCGCTAAAACACGACGCAGCTGATCCGAGAATAAAACATGGCCGACACGTTTCCTCAGAGAGCCGACCGCGTCTATGGACAGATTACCCAAGAAACATTACTTAACGTACAAAACTCAGTAAAACATGCAGACAGGTAAACCAACAGATTAAAGTAGATTAAAATACATAATCATTAAATTATCTCAGCAGAAGTTAAAACGTCTAAAGAACCGATCCAAACACAAACTACTGACACAAAACACAGACAGGAAGCCGACCACAGTTTTCCTCTACTTAAAGTCACTGAGCTAAGCTAGGCTAACTACACTAGGCTAACTGTTAATTATGCAATACATGTAGATCTTAATCCCACATAAATATTTAATCTAACTGTAATCTTGGGTGATCTACTGGGAAGCTGCCTGGCTAATCCAACAGGGTCCAGAGCTTCCCATTCAAACCAGTTTAACCTTTTATTTCACTGACTACTGGAATAATTTAGAGATGTTATATTAGTTTTCAGAAAACAGAAAATGATAAGCGTTTAGAGGCCAGGGCTCCAGCTGACAAAATATATAGATTCATTTTAACAAACAAAAAGTTAATCTGAAACTAATTCAAAGGCAACTCAGTAATCTGACTGATGGGAAATACATTTATATTCCTTTATTATTATTGTAAACAAGCAGAAATATTTGATTCAATTAATTACTGAAGTTATTTTGAGTTTCTTTGCTCTGGATTATAAATCCTGCATGTTTAATCTGAGCAGTTTGAGTTCATCTGGGAGCTCAGGAGCCTGGGAGGGGGACTGTGACATCACAGGGGGCGGGGCCAACCTTGGACAACCCGGGATCCAATCGGCTCTTTGCGTTGCTGACGGCCGTTTTTAAAAGGCCACAGAGGTGCAGCTGCAGCCGGACAGGTAAGAGAAACACACAGGTGAGCTGCAACACCTAGACGCTTCTGATTGGCCGTCAGGCTGTTGCACCAAGTCCAGCCCCAAACACGACGGCCAATCAGAGGACGGGAAACAGAGGCCTCTCACCTGAGTCCGGAGCTGAGTGCAGGTGCGCTGCGAGTCGTGCAGCTGCGCCTCCAGCTCCCGCAGGAGCTGCCTCTGCAGCGACAGCTGCTCCTGCAGCGACTCGTTCTTCACCTGCAGCTCCACCAGCGCCTTCTGCGAGTCCGCCGACTCCACCTGCACCGTCTGGGTCACCACCTGCAGAGGAGCACAAGGCTGGGTCATCTGCTGCAGCAGCACCAGTTGCTGCTGCTTGTGTGCATGCTCACATAAGTGGTTCATCAGATTTCTGCATCTCTCTCCTCCGTTTCCTTACCTTGACTCTAGGGGGCGCCGCCGCCCGTCTGGCCAGTTCTTCCTCACACTCCTGCAGTCGCAGATGCAGTTTTTGCTCTCCCTCGCTACGGCGCCTCCTGCTGTCGTCCAGCTGCAGCTGCAGCGCCTCCGCCCTGCAGCTGCTCTCCTGCAGCTCCTGCTGCAGCTCGGCCAGCCGCTGCTCCCGCTGCCGCGCCCGGTTCTCCCAGGACGCCGCCTCCCGCCGCAGCGCCTCCGCCTCCTGCAGCACATACGCAGGGGGTGGAGTCAGAATTGCCCGCTGAGGCTGCGCCCGCTGAGGCTGCGGCGAACTCACCTGAGCATGCCTGCAGCAGCTGCAGCCGTCCGCCGCGGCGTCAGGCTGGAGCTCTGAGCTTCTGCGTGACTTCAGCTCCTGTTTCAGACGCTCATTCTCCACCAGCAGCCGCTCCAGCTGCTTCTCCAGGTCTGTTGCCCCCTGCAGGACAGGTGGCCACATTACAGCAGCTTCTAACCAAGAGGACCATTTATCAGATCAAGACTAGAGCCGAGAAATTAGATTAAATTATAATCTTGGTGTTTTAGAGAAGTTAAAGCTGCGAAGGTTAAATTTCTGCTGCTGATAAAATATTTCCTTATTTATAGAACTGATTAAGGAAATGATTGATCTGATCAATCAATGATGAAGATTGATCAGACTTCAGTTGCTCTGACTTTATGCTGCAACCTAATCCACATGATCGGACCCGTTACTCCTGCTGGTTTTGTGGTAGTGAGAACTTCTTGTTCGGTTCTGACTCGGTATCGGGTCCAAGTCTGATCCCAACAGGGTTTCTAAAGAGCCCAAGTTTGGGTCAGAACTTTGATTTGCAGGTTCTGGACTCCAGGTTCCAGGTCCAGAACCAAACTCACCAGTTCAGAGCGCAGTCTCTCCACCTCCTGAGTCCGATCCAGCAGCTTCTGCTCCAGCGCCGCCACCTGCAGGCAGAACCACCGGTCAGCTGGACCGGAACCACAGAACCTTAGTGGGTCCGGTTCTGCAGACGTACCTGTGTGTGCAGCCGAGAGACGAGCTGCTCCTCTTCGGGTCGGCTGAAAAGGTTCGGATTCGGCTTCACACCTGAAACCAGACAGGAACATAACCAACCGGACCAGAACCAGAACCGGGTCAGGCATCTACGCTCTGATTGGTTTGGTAGTGCTGAAGGTTCTGGATCCAGATCTGGGTCAGTGTCACCTGTAGGCTTGGCCAGCAGAGGCTCCTCCCCCTGTGTCCAAGCTCCGCCCCCCGTCCGCTGGCAGGAAACCTCTTCCGAGCAGAACCGGGCCTGAAGCTCACACACCTTGTCCTGCAGAGTCTGAACACACACACACACACACGGCGGATCAGACTGCAGCAACAGCAGGTTCCTGATCTACAGGGCGCTGTGCTCTAGAGGTCAGAGGTGAAAGGTCGTCTACAGAGAGAGACTGAGGCGGATCAGAACCAGGAGGATGAGGATAGAAACGATGAAGGTTTTTACATTGACAGACGTCCAGCAGCAGGACCAGGAGACTCTCTGCAGGACGAGACGGCATGGAGGAAAACAGGACAGTTAGGAAGACACTGGACAGAGAGACGGACAGAGAGACGGACCTCTCCAAGGTCAAGCGGTTCAGTGACCTCTGCTAGCTTCAGTTCTGTCTGAGGAAACGATGACTCAGTAAGTGCTAAGCTAAATGCTAACCTAAAATGAAAAACAGGAATCGCTTCACTGTGTTGATGTCACATCCTGACCGTTGCTTTGCTAGCAGTAGCATTGTGCCTTCTGTTAGCGCTGTGTGCTAGCTGTTAGCTCCTTGTGGACAGAGCTGTACTGCATTTTTTATAGCATTATAACATTAATAGTTTCTATTTGGATCATGTATTCAGAAGACAAAAATGCCACTCAGTAACATTCTTGGTGCTAGCGCTAGCTAACTGGCTAACTCTGCTGAGCCTCGATTTCCAGATGAGTTCCTTCCTTTTCTGGCTCCTACATGTCGGACTGGATGGACGAGTCTAGTGGTGGCACCTTTAATTAAACTTTCTGCGCTTCTATATAATCGCTTCTCTGCTATGAAGCAGCGAACAACAACCAGGAACAGGTGGAACGGAAGGGGCGGGGCCTAAACTGTCAAAACAAGTTGCTCTCAGCCTGCAGAGCTACAACAACCAGGAATCAAATCAGCTGAAGGATTTAAAAGTTTTCACACAAAGTATCAGTTCTTCTATTGACAATCGCTGCCCTCTAGGGGCAGCAGTGGAAACAGCAGTTTTCCTGATTTTAGTTTTCCGTTTTTCAGCTGATCAGACGGATGAGGATCGACAGCATCAACGCTCTGTGGCTCTCCACCCAGGGTTTGACCCCTGACCTCCACCCAGCCTCACACCGACAGGTTCTGTCAGAACCCATCAGAACCCGCTCCGTCTGCGTTCAGCTGCTGTTCACAGAGTGGCGCCCCCTGCTGGACCGTTTACCTGGATGAGCAGCTGGTGGGAGGAGCTGGTGTTGAGCTCAGCGGTCAGAGGGGGGCGCTGTGAGAAGGAGGCGGCAGGCAGAGACAGGAAGGAGCCGTCGTCTTCACCATCACTCATCAGGAAGTCCACTGAGCTGGCTGCAACACACACACACACACACACACACAACACTGGAGAGTTAAAGAGTTCCTCTGATGAGCAGAACCTGCTGGTTCTGTTGGAAACCAGTCTGCCCAGTTAGCAGCAGCTAGTGACCTCTGACCCCCTCAAACCGAGTCGATTTGCTTCGTCTCCAGTCTCCCTGAACTCTGAACTCTGGCCGGCCGGGCCACAATCCTGCTCCATTTTTATCCGTGTTTGCGTCCCGAGCCGACGGCGCGGACTGACCTTCGACCTGCTGCCATGGAGACCGGGACGAGGGGGGACGTGTTGCTGCAGCTGAACCTGCTTCAATGACTACCGACCCACCTGCAGAACCACAAACAGAACCGACCCGGTTCTGATCAACCCAGTTCTCTGATTAGTCCGGATTCATTAATTTGCACACTGAGCTGCAACAACACAGGCTGAGCCGTTCGGTCTCCACACCATGACTGTCTGGAGAGCGCCACCTCCTGTCTGGCTGAGGCACTGAGTAGCTGACTGCAGGCTGAACCTGAGCTGACAGCCTGACTAGCAAATCGGAGCAGAGCTCCTCTGATCCAGAACCAAGACCAGACTCATACTGGTGCCGCTCCAGTCTGACAGGAATCAATGTGAAGGTTGAGCAATAGTTCTGGTTCTCAGACAGAAACAGGAAACGGATTAGAAACTCTTCAGGAAAGTCTCTAAGCTCGCTCACACACACACACACACACTCGCAGCTGGGAATGTGCAGCTCGGACTGGAACAATGGCTCCAGTGTTCGCTCCCCTCCAGAGACAGAAAACCCATCAGAACCGTTCGGCTCACCTGTTCCTCCTGCCAGGCCCGGGCCTCCTCCGCTTGGCGCTCAGGTGTGACTCACCTGTCCCGTATCCTGTCAGGAGGAATGCAGCCACGCTGCTGCCTTCAGGCCCCACCCTCTGACTCACCGTCCAATGAGAGGTCTTTCTTCCAGAGCTCCTGCAGGCAGGGGGCGTGAGCGATGTCCCAACTCTGTCTGGTTCCAAACATGACCGCCGGGCTGAGCAGAGCGCTGGACCGCTGGACCGGCTGCAGAACCAGGAAAACAAACATTAAAACATCTGGACTCTGCAGAACGGCTCCCCCTGCTGGCAGGATGAGCGCCGCAGCTCCAGGTTCAGGATTTCGTTTAAAATGTAAAATTATTTCCTTCCAAATGATTTTAGTCCTGAACAGAACAACCCAAATCATGAAGTTCTGGATAAAAACCTGGAAAACATCAATTATAGAGAGCCAAGAAATCAGCAGATTTTAGAAAACATTCCAGCTGCATTGATCAGAACCGGGTTTCATATGAACTGATGGACCAACCAGAACCACTGGTAGAACCCGAGAACCAAAACACCCTGCAGTTACAAACGGACCGTAGGTTCTGGTGTAGTAATGGATCCACCAGTTTGTCTCTAATCAAGCCTTCACTCTCTGTTAGACCTCAAACCGCAGAGTTCACCAGAACCGGTGCCGTGGACCCGACTGGACCTCAGCCCTCTGATTGGCTGAGGACGGAGCGACTCACCGCCCCAGACCCGCTAACCGGTACCATCTGCTCCAGAACTCCAGCGGACCTTACCGCTCCACAGCGGGCCTTCCTCTCCGCTCCATGTCCGGACCGGTGCCGGTCCAGCCAGCGCTTATTGATCAGTGTTCCTACCCAACCCAGCATGCTGCCGTCCAGCCATCCACTCAGAACCAGCGACCCGCTTCAGGTCCGATCGGACCGACCTGCAGCAGCTGATCCCAGAGCAGCTGGTCAGGATGAAGCTAATCTGATAATCCCAGCAGCAGATGGTCCGTTAGCTGGGCGGGTCAGAACCGGCAGGAGGAACGGATCAGAACCGGCAGGAGGAACTCTCACTGAGTCTCAAACTACGGAGGAATCCATCCGTAGTTTGGTGATCGTGATCCATCGGTCATCAGGATCATCTGCGGCTCGGTCGGATCACCATCAGAACCTCCTGATGGGTCGGTCTCACTAAAGCTCGGGCCCAAACCTTCAGAACAGGAACAACGATGAGAACCGGACCGGAACCGGTCCGCACCTAAACCACAGATTCAGACAGAACGGACACAGGTGAAACTCATGTTACCATGGCAACAGAGAACCGGCAAATATGGAGCTAAACATAAAGAGTTCAGTATTTAAAGTTGTAAGAGGAGCGACCACGCTGCATTCACTGACCTCTGTAAAAACCAGTTCTCATCCCAAAACAACGCCGCCATTAAAACCACTGATACTATGATCAGCTTTCATTTTCACTGTCCGATTACCAATAATGATCGGCTTTATTAGTTTCTCACTTTGATCCTTTAACTGTCTGTCTCTGGTGTTACCATGGCAACAGAGTCACTAACCAGTTTAACCACTGGTTAGTGACTAGACAAAAACCAGAAACCAGTTTGCTCTTATTTCCTAACGTTGGCTGAACTAAAGATGAAGGAGAAGAAGCGACCCGGTTTGATAAAAACGACCCAAAAGATCCACAGATCAGAACCAGCAGAGATTTCTGGGCCACAGACATAAAACCAACCATTTATTTTATAATTTGTGGACAAATCTAGAAAACAAAATATTTTTCACAAATGAAAACGATCTGATCTGTTTGGGTCAAAATAAATTATTAGCTGTGAAAACTAAACTATTTTTTAAATTATGATTTCAATTATTTTGTTTAAGGTCTAATATATTTTGTAATTTTTCCTAAAACGATGGCCTCAGTCAAAGGACAAAAAAAAATCTATTTTGGCAAAAAATGCCATTATTTTAGGAAGGTGGGGATGTTGCTGCTGAATTGTGTTTTTAAATACAACAAAAATATCTGAGTCATTTTAATGCAAGTTGAAGGAATTATTCATTACTTTTCTCTTCCTGAGAAGAACCAGAGCCATATTCACTCAGCACTGACCCGGTCCAGCTGTTTAACAGAACCAGAACCTGTTGGGTCAGTCTGGAAGCACCGGCCTCCTCTGGAAGGATCAATACCAGCCGATCGATACTGATCAGCAGCTCCGTCTGACTTCCAGCCGAAAGCCAAGAGGGATACAATACCTGGCTGAGGCCCCGCCCCCACCTGCTGCTAGCTGGTTAGCTAGCTGCTCCCCGCTCTGAGGCCCCGCCCCCACCTGCTGCTAGCTGGTTAGCTAGCTGCTGCCCGCTCAGCAGCAGAAACAGACGGGGAAGGAAACGCTGTGATCGAGGCGTCAGGCTGCAGAAACAGGAGCTGCTGCATCAGGTTACAGAGCTGCACGTCTGCTGCAGCTGCTGCTCCTCCGTTCATTCATACATTCACCCATTCATAATCCATCCGTTCATCCATCCATCCCTTACCTCCCAGCAGCCTCATCATCCCCTCATCTTCCTCAGAGCTGCAGCTTCATGGCGACAAACGGCAGCAGGATCAACATCACCGCTCGCTCACACACACACACACACACACACACACTCTCTCTCTCTCTGCTTCCTCCCCCGTCTCCCTAGCAACAGCAGAGCAGCGTCACACCCTGAAGCCCCTCCTCCACAGACGGATTAATATTTCAGCGCAGCGGCCCCTCCCCCACCTGCTGCTCCGCTGATTGGCTGATCTGGCTCCGTGAGGTGGGGGGGCCATGAGGTGTTTCGTCATTTTGACTATCAGGTGCGCGAGATGGCTCCGTCAATCAACTCTGGGTTTGTC